TGTCCATGTCAGGCCCTCCGTCCTGCACCACTGACATGGGGAAACCACATTGGAAAATCACGATAAACTTTCTCGGCCAATGCAGGGATCGAATACGCAACCTCCAGACTAGCGAGCCAGTATCTTCCCAACTTAGCCACCGTGGCTCTCAATAACTATTCCAAAGCATGAACAAATATTTTTCCACGTTCGAACTTCAATTCTTTACAATCATAAAACATAATATATAAAATAAAATTAACTTACAGCAATAGATTTAAAAACACCAGGCATTCTATCACCAGCTATATCTTCTTTAATAGCTATATACATATACGGTACATACGACAGAAAGTATATAATACCAGCACAAGCAGCTGCTACTTTCGCTTTCGAATATAAAACACTAATCAAAAACCTAAAAATAAAATGAAATGGGGTTTAACGTCATACTGTTCTTCTCCGTTTGGACTAAATGAAGACGGGTATACGCCATACAGTGTGCTATGAGGGACATTTTGTCCAGGCAGCGACACTATGGTCCACTCTTAAACTTCTGACGTCTGGTTATTCCAGTCTACACAGATAGTATTTATTGCGCATGCTCTCTAGATAAGAATATGATGTCACCGTTTGACATGACTTGTGGAATTATGTCTGGCCTAGTTCTTTGTGTCCCTTGTTACAAATGGCGCTGAAACGCATTATGGTACACGAATCGTGTACCAATGGTAAAATGTTTATTTTGTCTTAAATATTGGATATCAGAAGCCCATCTTTTCCCGGTAAGATCACAACACCAATGTTGATTTAAATTGACAAATAATTCAAGTTTTCAATGTCGAAGACTTTGGATGATATTGAGTTAGAGACTTAGCTACTTTAATTTGATCAACCAAATTTTTTTAAAATCAGACTGTTAACCATAAAACTCACTTAAAACTGAATATCAGTAAATTTTGGTGAAATTGTAAATAATAATTGCTACTTACGAGAATGAAATTACAGCTACAACATATAACTCTAATACAACAAATATTAGCCAACCACTAGAATGAGCTAAAACATGGCCGAACTTTAACATCATAGTTAATATTATAACGGTAATAGTCATCTGTATCCAGTACGATATAAACCATGCAAACCAATGTACAGCATTACTTAATCCCATCATCTTCATCACCTATAATGGAAGGAAAAACATTACCTATACAATCAATTAAAACTATGTAAATTTTTCTTAGACTCTAGCATCCCACCTGTTAAAGAGAGAATTTCATATTTTCTAAGAAAATCAAAACATAATTATTTCTATGTCTTTTGCTCAATAGGTTATCAACTCACTATTATACGATCATAGTTAACTTTCTCCCACTAATAAATCCTTGACCCCGGAAATAATAACATAATTCCCCCATGGAATAGCTATCTTCAAACGTTTGAATTTGAAGTTGAAAATGATATTTTTGCCAATTTCTCAACTGGCAATAGTGAATTATAGGATTAATAGTATTATTCTTTAACAAGGTATGACTGTTTATAGATACCATCTATTTTAATGCTTTATTTTAATACATTTTAAAAATATAACTTAAAAATATTAAATTGCAACTTTAATTATTGAATTCCAATAGTTAAGGGTACTTTTACATGCACGCCAACAAATAAATAAAGGGAAGAAACTCATGACCTAAGATTCTTTACTCTCAAATTATAGGTAGACTTGGAAAGTTATGTAGATCTGTGGTTATTCGCTTATCAATATCAGTCAATGGTGGTAATAGTAAAATGAATAAAGGCAGGAAACTCCTTGTTTTACTTGACATGGTATAAGGCAAGTATGCAGATTTCAAATAGTAGCCTAATATTCAAAACAAATAAAAGTAAAAAGAACAAAGGGAGGAAACTTTTGTCTTACTCATCATTGTGCAAGGGAAGTAAATATAGGTAAAGTTATTTTTCAAAACCAATAAGTTTAATTGTAAAATGATCACCTCTTTAAGTCTCTGTTCTTTTTCATATACAATACTCTGTACTAACATAGCTACTGAATATACCCAGGATATTGTTAAACACAGTGGCATAACATGTTCTATCATAAACATAAACCTGAAATAAACATTAATACTACATTGTCCACGTGGATAGAAGTAGTTGTAGAAGTAGCCTGCCTGTATGAGTAAATTCCTGCTCAATGACCATCTCATTAATTATGAGTCACTCATGTGTACAATAGTGCTGGCACAATATATCGATAAAACGATTATCATGATTCGCATATTGAATCATGAGACGCTGGATTGATGTATCACGATTATTTTCTAATCACTTTTTTTGTCACTTCAGTAAGTAATCTGTCACTCTAATTATTCACGTCACACATTGGTCCTTATTTTGATCCATATCAATATCGTGATATATAACAGTTTTATTTATTCGAAGTCGGTAGGACCATAATTATCAATTATTTATTCAACTTGTTGTTTTCTTGGTAAATATTGACCTGGTTATGAATCGTGATATGAATCATATTGTAGTACCCAAATCGCAATACATATCGTATCGTGACTGTAGTGGCCATACCTAGCACTAGTGTATTTTAAAAGAATTATCAAATCTGTATTAGTCCCGAAATGACCCAGTTTGTTTCGAGTGGACATTAAACCCCATTTCTCTCTCTCTCTAAAATCTGTACCTTGAATCTTGATATTCCAACTCCGTATAAAAACCGCTCCACGATTAAGATCAATTTATATCAATCCTGCAACTGATTTTAACAGAGAGATTTCACTGTATATTAGGCTATATACTTACTGATCATATACGAAACAGGGATACGGAAATTGTTGAGCAAAAGTACCTGGTTCAATAACATCTCTACCAACTTGTACATCTATTATAGCTCTTTCTATTATATCCTGTAAAATAAGAAAAAAAATATAACAAAACTTTACACGTCCATCTTGAGTGAATTTCTAAAGCTGTCATTTGAACAAGTTATAAATTTCACTAATACGTAATTAGATGATTTAACAATAGATTTAACAATAAATTACCTGAATCCAGACAAATCCAAACTGATAATAAGGATGAGTTGATGGTCCCGGTCCAGGAAACCAGGTTTGTTTACGTGTATATTTTGTGGTAGGTGTAAAGGTAGCGTTTTGTCGTATCTTATATTTAACATGAGGTGGTAGTCCGCCATCTTTTTCAATATTCTCAAAAACAACACCTGTAACACATAAATATCTTTAATAAACCTGAGTAAAAGCGGCAGAAATTATTCATCTTAAACTAGTCATTTGGATGGTATGAAAAACCTAAGTACAGTGCACGTAAAAGATCCTTGACAGTTGGTATTCGAAATATAAAGAGTAGGCTGAAGTGCTTCTGTCCAAGGAAAGTTTCCGGCATAGCACACAGCGTAGTGTCACAATGACAGAACTTTTGATCTAAAGCACGTGTTATAGACCACTTGACCCCACATTCCCCCACTGCCAACCCCCGCCCCCGCGCCACCCAACAAATAAGGAAGTCGGTAGATCTTCCTAAAGTATACTGACATACCCAAAATAAAGATGATATTTTTCTATGGACTGCTGTTTTATGGTGACATTTAAAAGAAACCATAAGATGAAGAGAGAGAGAGAGAGAGAGAGAGAGAGAGAGATGGGGTTTAAGTCCACTTGACACAAACTAGGTCATTTCGGGACTAACACATGGTTCAATTTTATTTCAACAATTCACTTGCGCATAGGGGTCTTTAGCAGTGGGAGAAAACCGGAAAAGCTGGAGAAAACCCACGAGGTTGGACAGGCGACCCTACTCCTTGCTACGAACATCCGGTGAAATCGAAACCACGCCAGTTGACTCAATGACAGACTTTCTGATACAGTGTGCACGTGCTAACCATTCGGACATCCCCCACCCCGACAGATAAGATGAATAGTTAGATATTTACCTGCTATGACACTGTCATTATTTCTATAAGCCTTCGTTAAGAAATAGTCCACCATATCAGCCTCAGTTTCAAATCCTTGAAAAACATTTAAACTGATACCTTCCGTCATGCCTAACCACATATTAGCCGCATGATCGATAACATCTAACATATGAAGATATTCTTGAACTGTGGGTATTTTGTCATTCATAAATGTCGAAAGTTTCTCTGAATCAATAAATCTACCCACGATACCTTTATGCATTTTCAACACTGTCTGCATCTGAAAATTAATTTTGATACATTTTGTAAATATTGTAAATATGCCTCTTTTAAATAGGGCTTTTACACTTTTCAAACCAATCTGATGAAAATACAGATCTATATTTCCTTTTGTTTTTTTATACTTTTGATGGCCTACAATACAAGAAGATCTGACGGGTTGTAGTGGAAGGTTGCATCAGAGGTCATACTAATCAGCGTTGCTGTTTCTAGTGGGCTACCCACAGTTCCGTGCACCTCACGCCAAAAACTCGCGTAACAGACCATTTCATTTGCTAATCCCCAACATCATCCAGAATGCGAGTTATATAACCACTCTTCCAGATCCTTGCGTAGTAAAGACAAGTAAAACAAAATTTTGAACTATAAAAAACGAAACGAAATTGGATCTGTGTTTTAATCAGATTGTTTTCAAACACCATTTTATTTCAATTCCTATTTTATCTAAAAAAAATCTCTTGTTTCAAAAACTGATATCTAAACTCCATTCACAGACAGAAGTAAATCTCAGTTCTAACCAAAATGCCAATCTACCTCTTGATATATGCAGTTAAGTACAAATAAATTTTGCTACAAATAGCAATTTCGCAACCATCGAGACATTATTTAATCCTTTAAGAGTCATTTAGAAATTGATTTATGATATAATACTAGAACACTTGGATAAAATCACTTGGTTTATTATACTGCAACATTTCAACAACATTTCACAAGTCGTTTTCAAGTCAATGACTTGTGAAATGTTGTTGAAACGTTGCAGTATAATAAACCAAGCGATTGTATCCATACTAAGTGTTTTAGCATTTAAGATTTTTTTTAATGAAAATATTCATCTATATCCATTCCCGATCCAACATAAGAAAAGTACTTTCAAATCATGGAGACACAAAAAAAAGGGTAAGTTTTTCTGTGGATACAATTTTGGAAATAACTTTTAATACATGGCGATTGCCAGATAGGTAATTTTAGAAATTATAAGACTTTATTTAACGAAATTATCCATCTATATCCATTCCCGATCCAACATGTGAAAAGTACTTTCAAATCATGGATACACAAAAAAAAAAAGGGTAAGTTTTTCTGTGGATACAATTTTCGAAATAACTTTTAATACATATCGATTGTTAGACAGGTAATTCTAGAAATTATATAAATGAAACCGCATTTGGTGTAGTTTTTAGTTCTACATTTGAAAAGGTTCATTAGACCTAAAACATTCGGAATTAAATTCCCACTTTAATCTACATAAGTCTGTTTGAACTTCTGTCCAGGGGAGACAACTCAATCTTTTAGTTTTACAACTGACAGAAAAACTTACATTTCTCATAAGTTGTAGATTCTTGGCCGTCTGCGGTTTTTCGAGATATTCTCTCAGTTCTACAGATACATTTAACCATTTATCAGCGTAAACTCCAATCAGATCAATAAACGCAAACGTAGCATTCGCCTGTAAATATCAATCAATAAATCAATACATTAATTATATTCATAATCTTTGATCAAAAAACGTAATTAAAAAACACATCGATACTTTTATACGAAAACATAAATATTGTCTATAATTCCCTATGTCAAAATAGAAATTGAATTAGGGAGTAACAACAAAGTATATATTAGAGTTTGATGACTATTTTTTTATAAGGGAGCCACGGTGGCTAAGTGGGTAAGACACTTGCTCGCTAGACTGGAGGTCGCATGTTTGATCCCTGCATTGGCCAAGAGAGTTCATCAGGATTTTCCGACATGATTTCCTCTTGTCAGTGGTGCAGGATGGAGGATCTTACAAGGACAGCTATCTAGTCGTTCGGATGAGGCGACAAATTAATGTCCCGTGTACACATTGGTGTGCACATAAAAGATACCTTGGCAGCCCAGGCACACTTATAGCACACTGTATGGTGTATGCCTGTCTTCATTAGCCCAGTCAGGAACAGAACAGTAGGACATTAAACCCCATTTCATTTCAATTCTTTTTCATAAAGTGTTGGGATTTTTAAAGACAATGTTAGGTTTACCTTGACGATGACATCATCAGCAGATGTATTAACTGGAGCGTAAAGCACCTTGGGATTACTGTATAATATATGAACTATAATACCCAGCATTCTTTGTTGACGTGAAGTTAATGGTACGCTGTCTGTAATACAAAAAAAATTACATATATATATATATATATATATACACATATATCTACACATCAGTTCCATAAATCTCAAATGTATGTGGGTATTTCCATGACAACAACAAAAGAGAGAGAGAGAGAGTTTAACGTGGGACTAACATATGGTTCAATCTTATTTCAATAATTGGCTTGTGCGTAGGGGTCTTTAGCAGTGGGAGGAAACCGGAGGACCTGGAGAAAACCCACGAGGTTGCACAGGCAACCCTCATCCTTGTCACGTACAACCGGGGAATCGAAACCACACCAGTTGACTCAATGACAGACCTTATGATACTACGTGCACACGCTAACCATTCGGCCATCCAAACCCCCCCCACCCCCCTCCCCAAATTAAGCTAACTTGTCAAACCTTTTGCTTATTTCTGAATTAACTACTATGTGATGTAAAACAAACATAAATGCATCGAAACCACGCCAGGTGACTCAATGACAGACCTTAAGATACAGCGTGCACACATCCACCCCCCCCCCCCCTCTGAGCAGTATAAATGAAATATTAAATTTCAAAACTGACCTATATCCGTTGGATCAAATGGATGATCAGAATTTTTAGGTTTTTTTCCACAAACAGCAATCTGCATGAAACTCCATACTTTTAATAAACCATGTTTAGACGGTTTAGGATGTACTGGAGGCTGAAATTATAATTTAAATATAACTCTTTATGAACAGAATAAAAGTTCTCAAAGTAAATAGCACTCTGTGCACAGAATGAACTTTGATCTTACCTTGATGACATCTGGATTATCTGTAGCAGTGTTATTACTGTTTATTGATGAGTTGCTAGGCGACGGTGTAACAATCTCTGTATCATTTTTCTTATCAAACTGATCTACTGGTAACATTTCTACTAACGTAGCCAACTGTTCTAACTCAGTTTGAAATTGAACAAATTTATCAACCTGTAAAATTGAATTATGAAACATAATAAAATATTTAACGAATATCGAATTACAACTGTCAAGGGATCTTTTACGTTCACGCCAATGTGTACATTTACCACTACTGTGTACAATCAAATTATTCACCACTCCCCCCTCGTAATTCAAATCCTCGTTACACTACTGTAACTATCAAATTATTCAAAAAATAAAATCCTGTAATTTTCAAATTATCCAGACAAACAAAATTTTATTTCTTTATAATACTCACATTGTGGATAAAATCTTCTACTTTATTAACAGTGGCTGTTAAATTCACAGACTTTAAATCTAACTATAAAAATAAAAAAAAATCAATATTATTTGTTCTCGATTGTCTACAAGCTGTGAAATTTAAAATATCAATATAAAAACATGTCCTAATGGTCGATAATTTGCCTTTATCGATAACAGTGGCTGTTATATTCACGGATTTCAGATCAAAATATAATAAGAAAAAAATCAATATTATTTGTTCTCGATTCGTAACAAACTGTGAAAATCAAATTATCAATATATTAACATGTCTTATTTTATAAAGTAGAGCTGATAATTTGTCTTTTATGCGTAGTTTAAAGCGATAATTTCATATTTTCTAAGAAAGTCAAAACATAATTATTTCTGTCTTTTGCTCAATAGGTTATCAACTCACTATTATACGACCATGGGCATTATTTCCCACCCTTAAAAATCATTGACACAGGAAATAACACAATTACTTCCCTTGTTTTCCTATTGCCTCCATGCATTAGCTACCTTCAAACGTTGGAATTTGAAGTTGAAAATGATATTTTTGCCAATTTCTCAGCTGGCAATAGTGAATTATAGGATTAATAGGATTATTCTTTAACAAGGTAGGACGGTTTATGGATACCATCTATTCTAAGGCTTTATTTTAATAAATTTTAAAAATATAACTTAAAAATATGAAATTGTAGCTTTAATGGTCGAGTGCGAGACATTAAGTAATATACTCATATTGTACAAGGGCTATATTTATATATTACGCAATGTCTTGCACAAGGGCTATATCTATATATTACGCAATGTCTTGCACGATATCATTAAACAACAGACACTATCCAGCACGTGCATTTCAATAAAATACATCACGCGGGTCAAATATTTCAACTAGTGTAAATAATGTATGCTTGGCACATTGCCTGCACTATTATTTGACATGATGGTACGCCAACATCAAAGGATGACGTCACATCTGTATTTTAAAAGTATTTAATGTTTGACAATGTATATCTGGAATGAAATAAATGTGGTTGGACACATCATGACTGACTGGTGGTTAAATTTATTGTTTTCAGAACTTACTAGTCTGTCAATTCAATTTACATGCCGTCAAATTAAAATTCAACTGTAAACATGATTAATAAGATAAATTTATAGTTTTTATGTATGAAAAAAAAAACACTTAAAAATACACACAAAATATTGAGATTATGCTAAAGATTTGGAAAAAATATCTTGATAATTGAAAGCAAAAAATTGATAGACTGGAAAAATTTTGAAAAGAGAGAGAGAAATGGGGTTTAACGTTCACTCAACTAGAACATTTCAGGAATTACTTATGGTTTAATTTCATTTCAATAATTCGCTTGCACATAGAGTTGTTTAGCAGTGGGAGGAAACTAGAGTACTCAGAGAAAACCCACAAGGTTGGACAGGTGACCCTACTCCTTGTCACGTACAACCTGGGAATCAAAACACCGCCAGTTGACTCAATGACAGGCTTCATGATCAAATGTGCACACGAAATACCACTTGGCCACCCAACCCCTTGCTAAATTTTGAAGTGACATTTCCTATTTAACAATGGGTCAATGCAAAATTGTTGCTATTTTGAGAGGGAAAAGTCCATTTTACTTACAAATTTAATAATATCATCATTTGTTATATGAGACTTGAGAAAATCTGATAATTCTACAAAATCATGTCTGGATAAATTACACATATTCTGTTGTAGTTTACGCTGAAAATAAATACAAAAAAAAACAATATATTTCAACTCGATTTAAAGAGACAATGTTCTCAGAGAAATTCATTAAACGACCTGAAAAATAGTGATTTCTAGTCCACGGTGTTTGTGTAAATTGTAATTTTATAATTGGAAACTTTCAAAAATCGAAATGATATTGCAAAATATTTGAGGTTTTAATTAGATCTCACAATTTTATTTTTTTTTTTATTTATTCTTTAGGGTGTCCAAGCAGGGATCTACATTAAGACATATTTAAATAAGGCATAAAGAAAAGTTTTAAAGCAGCTTTAAACTGTTGCAATCTATTGAAGTTTCACATAAAGAAATCAATCAAGTATTACATGTAAGTCTATAAATAGAAATAAAATATAATCAGTCAGCTTAAGGGAATTACTGTTGATAAATTCTTTAATAGGCTGTTGAAATACATGACCTTAAAGGACAATACTGGTGTCAGCTATTGTCACATTATGAATATTGTCCTTTAACACAACAGAAAGTGGTGCATACACAACTCTTAATGAATTGATAGTAATAAGAGATATAAATAATTTTGGCAGTGTTTGAGGGAGTGAATAGAGTTGTTATTGTATGTTTATGGTATGATTCATTATATTTATTTATTAAAGTTTAAAGACTGCTATAAAGAGAAATATATTAATGTTAAATATCAACACACTCATTATCCCACACAGTTCAGTTAAATATTGAGGGTTTAATATCGAGTGGAAATGATCAATACTGAAGTAGGAGATTATTGACTGAATAGCCTAAAAGGATATGTAATATGATTTACAACCTCTTATTACTGCATGTATATGTATATATATTGAGAGAGAGAGAGAGAGAGAGAGAGTGAGAGGGAGGGGTAACCTCAACTCGACACAAACTAGGTCATTTCAGGACTAATATATGGTTCAATTTTATTCTGATAATTTGCTTGCACACAGCCGTCTGAAACCTTATATTTAAGTTAACATAAGTTGCCTCCCTTATGTTGTAGTTTTTCTGCCTCTTTGAGTCATAAAGGAGATTTGGAATTCTAACATGGAGAATGGTTGTTTTTCCGTTTTCAGCCACATGTAACTGTGTAACACCCCTGGATCCACGGATCCGAATATAACATGGTGGAGGTGCAAAACCTCCTAAACCTTTTGTGCTTCTTATTTCGTATGTTCTTAACCAAACTATGGATTTAACCAGTTTTAAGTGTTTCATAGGTGTACCATTTGCTTTCCATGTGTAACGCCCCAGGATGTGAAATATAACATGACTTACCAGTTTTATCTGACCATCTTTTGTATTTGAGACAGCTAATTTTAGAAATAATTTCTTATCACAGCTTAACGCTTTCAACTTATCTGGTGAAAAAATAAATATCTGAAATATAAAATATTCATATTAAATATTTACTAGTCTTTCATGTTATTTAATAGGTGTCTCATTTCAAAGACGGGCATATAGTCCCCTCCTACATGAAACAATTATTCACATTCTACAAACAGGAAAGACGTTCGTCCACAGATACTACATTAAAATCTGTGCCTGCTTACAAGAGACTCAGAGGAAAATTATCTTTCCCTATAAATGGTGCCCATGTGAGGAATAGGCTACCAAGAACAATTAGAGAAAGTTTAACTTTTGTTAAATTTAAATCAGAGATGGGGGGGGGGCATTTCGATACAAACTAGGTTATTTCAATAATTCACTTACGCGCGGGGGGTTTTAGCAGTGGGAGGAAATCACGGAGGTTCCGGAGAAAATCTACTCATTGTCACATACAACCGGGCAATCGAAACCATGTCGGTTGACTCAATAACAGACCTTATGATACAACGTGCACGTGCTAACCATTCGGCCATCCCCCACCCCCCACCCACCCCTCCCAAAACAAAACAATCTATGTAAGAAATAGATAGTACCTTCATAAGTTGAGCAATTTGTTTTGGATTTAAAATGATGGAATTCTTAGATTTCTCAATAATCTCTATCACAGCTTGTACAATAGTCGTGGTCTTCGGATGGGTTATTAAATCTGGATGTTCCATAATCTCTTTTATTATAGATTCTTTCAAATCATCTGGTAAACTTTCCATGAAACCATCTGGCATATTGTCTAAAATACTCGATAACATAGATGTACCACCCATAGAAGAATCACCCAGTTTCGACAAAATCTTTTTTAATGCTTCCTTCGACAATTTGGCGGCGATTTCCTGTGAAAGTGAGTCTGGCAAATCTGCATCTCTTCGTATTCGAACCAAGTGTTTGGTCAGGTTGGAAATATCATCGTCAACAAAGTAATCATATATCTGAAATAGAATTTATATCAAATAACGAAAACAGAAAATCAGTCTTTAGTATGTGAACAAGTTAATATGCTTATGTATATAGGGGAGCCACGGTGGCTAAGTGGGTCGCGTGTTCGATCAAAGCATTGGCCGAAAAAGTTCATCAGGATTTTCCAACGTTGTTTCCCCTTGTCAGTGGTGCAGGATGGGGGGCCTGACATGGACAGCTGTCTAGTCGTCCGGAAGGTCCGGAAAACCGAGGTCTCGCATATACACTGACATACACGTAAAAGATTAATTGTCAGTAGGAATTCGATATAAGAGTAGGCCATAGTGCCGCTGTCTTGGCAAAAATGTCCCTCATAGCATGCTGCATGGCGCATGTCCGTCTTCATTAGCCTAGTATAGGAGCAGAACAGTAGGACGGTAAACCCCATTTCATTTCATTCCATTTCATTTCTTAAGTATATATTACTACAATAAAATTGAAAGACATATTTATAAAACTAATTAAAAAAGGCCTTCTTTAAAATAAATAATTTTGATTAATAAAAAGCTGTGATAAAGGTTGTGCTAGCTTCTGTATGTTGTTATATGCCTTTCCATAAACACATAATGAGACCATAAAAAGATTAATCTAATTCCAATTAACAGAATATCTCAATTTATAACTAAAAATAGTAAACTGATTCTAAAAATTACATCATTAGTTTAAGGGACCGACATGGCTCTTTGCCACTCTCGACGGCCCTACTACACGCCCATGTAATGAATTAGAAGAATGGAATAAAACTTACCTCTTTAACATGTATTTCAGAATCTAACAAGGCATTGACCTCATCTGTTGGTAATGATAAATTATATTCCAGAAAATCACTAACCACTTTAACATTCTTCACAATTTTTCTCAATTGTAGGTCTACAAAATAAATGAACACACTCAAATCAGGCAAACTAAAATCTGTCAGTTTTAACTAAAGCAAGTATCCTTTAATGGTTAACTCTCTTCTGGGCATATAGAGAAACAGCCAATCTGATTAAAACACAGATCCTATTTCGTTTTGTTTTTTATAGTTCAAAATTGAGTCAACTGGCATGGTTTCGATTCCCCGGTTGTATGTGACAAGGAGTAGGGTCGCCTGTCCAACTTTGTTCCAAAGCATCAACAAATCAAATTGCTTATCTATACTTAGTCTAACTCAATTAGAATCAAAGTTATTGTTTCTGAAAAAAATCAACAAATTTGAACATTCTATCTGAATCTGAATCAAAGTTATCATGTATCAACAAATCAAATTGGTTTTTTTCTGCTTAGAAAGCATCCACATTAACCTCCAGAAATCTAACTAACAAACATCTACACAAAGTTTGAATATTCTACGTCAATTAGAAGCAGAGTTCCAAAATGTGTGACGAACAGACGGCGGAATGAAAGAAGGCCATATTATATAGTTTGTATCTTTTTCTTTAAAAGAGCAGGGGAAAATTAATACACTCAATGCATGGTCATTCACAGTTTCACATAATTTCAGACATATAATAATTTGGTGATTTTCTTTATTCAATTCTCACCTGTTGCATTTTCAAATATGTCATGGAAAAATGCTGGATCATCTATAACACTTTCATACATAGTTGGCAGATCATCCATTTCATCCGGGGTAAATCCGGGATTAAAAAAATTATTATGTTGAGCTACAGTCTGTAACTGGCTTAAAAACTTCTGCGTTGTTCTGAAAAATAGATGAAAAAAATTAACTATTTAGTTTCCTTATATATATATCCTTATCAGAGTCGTAACCAATTGACAGATAAACTGTGCAGGATTTACAGAAAGGTCTGGCAGTTCCTGATATACATGTAAAAGTTCAAAAATGAAAAAGGATTTCAGTCAAATAACTTTATTCTGAGTGAAGATATGAGTGTTTGAAGGTTGGACGGACAGACAGACATACCAACAGACAGACTGACAGTTTTGGAACAATATGAAATGAAATGAAATGGGGTTTAATGTCATACTGTTCTGCTCCTAAACTGCGCTAATGAAGACGGGCATACGCCATACAGCGACACTATCGTCTACTCTTATATCGAATTCCAACTGCCAAGGGATCTTTTACGTGCATTCCAATGTATACACAGGACTTCGGTTTTTTGTCTCATCCGAAGGACTAGACAGCTGTCTTTGTCAGGTTGGGACAATATGAATTCCTTGCAAATCCAATATTGTAAAAAATGAATCTCTAACAGGAATAACAGTCCAAAAATGGTTCAATTCCCGTTCAGTATTTACAAAGATATGATGAACTGAAATTTTTTTGTGGGCAAACAGAATTGATAGACCAATATTAAATCCGACTGAATCCAAGCCGTGAGATTATCCAGTATTGGAATTTGGAAAAATTTTTCCTAATTAAATGTTAAATAATCAATCTGAATACATATTCAGGAATTCTTAAATTATATTTTACTACTTTTGATCCAGTCTCCACGCAGATGTATCAGCCTGTCCAGCTTTAATTACTCTCTAAGGGAGTGTTGCCGTACCCTTTCCTGTTTCCAGTCAATACATATTAGTGTGTATTAAGACATGAAAAATTTGATATTTAATGAAAAATACAAATGATGCATCATTACTTTAAAGAATGTCTTTAATTATGGTCATAGCAAATGTTTAATATGTCATATGATGAATCAGTTTGGTCAGGACGTCCTAACTATATCAGAACATCAAACAATTGATCATTATAAAACATGATTAATGTTAAACAACAAGGAATTAACGTCTGATTCTAGTCGGCATATTGGACAGTAAAACATGTCATGTCTTTAATCATCCCACTAATTACAACCAAATCACCACAGAAATGAAATGAAATGGGGTTTAACGTCCTACTGTTCTGCTCCAAACTGGGCTAATGAAGACAGTAATCACCACAGTTTCTATCTCCAATCCTAAAATATACTTAATCAGATGAATCCCCATCATGTCTTTTCCAAAATTGTACATAATGAAGCATTAGCATTTCCGTCTTTTCTGCTTAGTAATTAATGATTTTCCATGGTTTATATTACCGAGTCTAAGAATATACTAATTAATTTTCCTTAGTTTATATGTCCAATTAAATTGGGTGGGGTGGGGGAATGCTCACTAGACCGTGGGTTCAGTAGTCCGTGGGCTCATTAGTCCACCGATATCTATTATAGGGGTTGGGTTAGGGTTAGGGTACACTTATCCGCGGGTTCATTACTCCACCAATATCTCTTTCTCTCTACTCTTCCGATTAAAAGATTTAATATAAATGACAGTTACAACATGTAAATAATTTACCCTGTTTTTGAGTAGTCCATGAATCCACGGTCATCTCTCTGGCCCCCTTCACAAAACATTTGCATAAATGAGACCATACCAGAGGATGGCAGGGGCATTGCGGGGAATTTTTCTGAAAAAAAAGAAAGAAAATAGCATCCAGTTAATGGAAACGAGAAACCCCGAGAGATTCTATGACATCAAATAGACAGTAAGATGGATAAATCATGGAGGCCGACGTGTAATTATCAGCACATTCTATGACAACTGTCTAAAAAAAATAGGAATCACATTTGTTTGATGTGTGAATTTCTAAGCGAGCGTTAAAAAATATAATTCCTTTGTCTGAGGACGTGTTCAGAATAATATCCAAATAAACACACATGGGAATTACAAAGTCAGCGCTCGAAACAGAAATAACGTTTTTATGTTTTTATTGCGACATCTCGTTGAAATGATTTATAGAGATTCATGCTTTATTTTATTACAAAAGATCAAAGGAATTGGCGATCACAGATCAAGAGGAGAAAAATGAATTGAAATTGGTTTTATAAACATTCCACATTTCTTCACCTACATGTCCTGGGCTAATATAGACTGGTATAAGTCATGCAGTTTTCTATGGGATTCCAACTGCCAAGGGTTACTTTACGATATGCACACCAATAAGTACACAGAACCTAAGGCGTTTTATTTTTTGTCCAGTATGAATGACTAGACATTGTTTCGTCCTGCACAACTCCATCTTCGGTATCCCCAGTGCTCTTAGCCTCATTGTTTACGTTCACAACAATATGGCAGCTTGTTCGCTCGATTATGAGCGAGTTTTCAAGAAATTTAAGATAAAAGAAGTGACATACACACAAAAAGATGTCATAAAACATCTATTTGATGGGAAAGATGATTTTATGTCAGTTCTTATGTATTTAATGATTTTTAAGATTGGTTGATAAAAATAGCACAAGCACCAACGGCAGATAATTTGAATATGTGTCTTCCCCCAATGATGAAACCAGGGGTTAGTGGCATGGAACAGAATGAGACCACTAGGAAAATGAAATGAAATGGGGTTTAACGTCCTACTGTTCTGCTCCTATACTGGGCTAATGAAGACGGGTATACGCCATACAGTGTGCTATGAGGGAAATTTTGCCCAGGCAGCGGCACTATCGCCTACTCTTATATCGAATTCCAACTGCCAGGGGATCTTTTACGTGCATTCCAATATATACACGGGACCTCGGTTTTTCGTCTCATCCGAAGGACTAGACAGCTGTCCTTGTCAGGCCCTCCGTCCTGCATCACTGACAAGGGGAAACCACGCCGGAAAATCTGGATGAACTTTCTCGGCCAATGCAGGGACCGAACACCCGACCTCCAGGCTAGCGAGCCAGCGTCTTACCCACTTAGCCACGTGATCCCCCAGACCACTAGGGATACCAAGGATGGCACTACTTTGTGTGACGATACCTGGATCAATCCAGGGACCTCTACGTTGTGAGCCAGCACTTTACCCACAGTTAGATCTATTTGATAAGGCCAATTTCAAGTTTGGTCAAAGGTCACAATATGTAACCAGGGCTAGCACTAATCACAACCCCAACCCTTACCCTAACCCTAACCCTAGATCTGTCCCTGTCAACAATCACATTCCTTAACCTTATTTACATCTCAGCGACCTTGACGAAAATTGAGCTGGCCTTAACAAATAGATCTAGCCCTTTACCCACTGAGATAATTTATATTATCAAATACTCAATTAAACACACACTAATTTTATGCACAGTTGAGTTCCCAGTTTTTGACCCACAATGTTTTATTTACATTAGCCTGTACATGTACCAACCCGAGCTAGTCACAAATACGATCTAATGAACATACATGTACATGTATAATGTGCACTTGAAAAAATGAACGATTATATTATCAGTTTATATGTAAACATACAGTGTTTCTGTAAACATATCCAAGATAACATATACTCTTCAAAAAAAGTAGGGGATATTCAGAAACAATACAAAACTCCGGAAATGCACTGCTGTTTTTATTAGAGGTAACCAGTGTATGTTAATAACAGGCCAATTGCCTACACATGAACATAAACAGTTCATATGGGCGGCTTAACTGATAGCCACATTTCGCACGCAAAGAGATACAATGTCAAAAGTGAAAATAGACATTTTTGATTTTTGTCTTAATAATGAGTAATTGCTCCACCAATCCTCAGACATTCAGCAATTCGTCGTGGCATGGTCCTAATCAACCGTCCAATCACCATTTGGGGCAATCTGACCTACTCCTCTTGCAGTGTTGTCGGTTGACCTTGACGTTGACAAACATGTCTCCTGATCAAATTAAACGTAACACACTAAAGCAAAGATACGCTAAACAGTAAATCTTATGCAAGAACTGATAGGAAAGCAAACATGGATAGATAAACCAGCACGCGGCAGTTTTCATCAACCCTTCCTTGAAGTGTCAAATTTGACAATGAACCCCTCCCCGTGTATTTCGCTATTGCGTGTCGCATGTGAGATCAGTGATTCTGTTGGGGCAATAAGTTCTTCATCTGTGAACATACTCTCAAAGCATGTCAAGTGTCCATGACTATTTATCATATCACAACCTGCATAGGTATTTGCATTTCAATGTCCCCTATTTTTTTTGAAGAGTATATATAAATTTCCAGAAAAAAATAATAATAATAATAATAATAATAATACTTACGTGTACCAATTGGATTGGCTGGTAATTTTTTTCTTATTAACCATAATATAACAAATAGCACTAACGGTATAAATAATTCAAATAATACCACAAACTGAAAAACAAAAACACATAAAAACATCATTACTAAATTACATACATGTATACATAGCCAGTGGGCATACAGGACAGGAGGGCGGGGCGTTATGATAGGGGCAATAGTTTTCCTCCGTTATTTGAGTGAAAGGAACTTTGGACAAGGAGATCACAGAAATTTAACCTGCACCAAGCATAGTATTGCAGTATGCTATTTATGCAATACTACTGAGATAGATAGAGAGAGAGAGAGAGAGAGAGCAAGAGAGAGAGAGAGAGAGAGGGAGGCTTTAAGGTCCAGTAGATCATTTCATTTCATTTTTCTGGCTAATATACGGTTCAATTTTATTTCAATAATTCACTTCTGAATATGAATCATTTCATTTTATTTTACGGACTAACATATGGTTCAATTTTATTTCAATAATTCACTTGCAAATATGGATCTTTAATCTTTAAGTATGGGAGGAATCCACAGGTCCTAAAGAAAACCCTACTCCTTGTCACGTACAAGCAGGAAATCAAAACTACGCCACTTCAGTGTAGCTGGCCCAAAAGATGGGTCCTTTATTGTGATATGAAAGATAAATGTGGCTCAGTTATGCACCCATGCAATTTGTGTACACCCAGATCAATTTCTTACTTATGATCAGATCAAAACGCAGTCCTAACGCTGAAATCTCATTGGTTCATAGCTTGGAAGGTGGTAGTGGGGAACAGGATGCCGTTTCACACAAACCCAATCTAATTAAAATACAGATCTATATTTTGTTTCGTTTTTTATACGAAGATATGACTGGTTGTACTCGAAGGTCTCGTCAGTGATCGTACGAGTGGCTTTGACCCTATGACATCAGACATTGTGGTTTACCCACAGTTCCGTGCATCGCATGCCAAGAACTCGCTTTAACAGATTGTTTCATCGGCTTATCCCTCACGCCATCCAGAACTCTTCCAGATCCTAGTGTTGTGAATAAAATAAAACAAAGTACGAACAATCCAAACCATTAGACAAAATTCGAAGTCCTAAAAAAACGGTATAGGCAAAATAGTGTAATAAGACAAAATAGTGTAATCAGCATACGAAATTTTGAACTATAAAAAACGAAACGAAATAGGATCTGTGTTTAATTCAGATTGGATGCAGTGTATTGGTGAAGGCAAACAGAAAACTGGAACAGGTTTTGACAGAAAAACCCTAATAATAAAATTATAAAGTGACACAAAAAGATATGTCAGGAACAATCAATACTACGTCTACAATGTTCTTTATAAAAAACAAAAACTTTATTTTATTGACAAGCCAGTCAACATCATAGAAAAATTAAGTTCTTAATTGCTTTATGAAAGCAGTTTAAATCACTTAAAATGACTGGTACATGTAGATCAAGATGAAAATCAATATTGTCCAGAAACATTAAAGTGAATTTTGATTGTGATTTGCAACCATTTATGACTGTACGTATGTGACTATTGTTTGTAGAAAGAACAGCCAGCTTGACATTAAGTTTTATACATGTTTTAATTGAGTTATGATTAATTTAGTGTTAGTGTATTTATAGTAAAATATCTTTTCAAGAAATCATGCTTGAATGACAAATGCAAGTTTTTAAGTCTAACAGATTATAGAAAGACCACCGAACCTAGATAAAAATAGATACTAATGTTTATTTTTAGCAAGTTTTTGTATCTAGTGGTATATATTCTCTTTATTTCTAGATTGATCTATGCGATCTGTCAAGACTAATGTATATGTGAAATGAAAATGAAATGAAATGGGGTTTAATGTCCTACTGTTTTGCTCCGAACTGGGTTAATGAAGACGGGCATACGCCATACAGTGTGCTATGAGCGAAATTTTGCCCGGACAGCTGCACTACGGCCTAATCTTATATCAAATTGCAACTGTCAAGGGATCTTTTACGTGCACGCCAATGTGTACACGGGACCTCGGTTTTCCATCTCATCCGAATGACTAGACAGCTGTCCTTGTCAGGCCCTCCATCCTGCATCACTGACAAGGGGGAACCACGCCAGAAAATCTGGATAACTTTCTCGGCCAATGCAGGGATCGAACACCCGACCTCCAGGCTAGCGAGTCAGCGTCTTACCCACTTAGCCACTGTAATCCCCCAATGTATATGTAATAACAGGACTGATGTCATGTAGTGTACTAGGAGGGTAATGTTGACTAGATCTATTTGTTAAGGCCAGCTCAATTTCATCAAGGTCACTGAGATGTAAATAAGGTTAGGGCACATGATTGTTGACGAGATTGTAGGTTAGGGTTAGGGTAAGCATTAGGGTTTGGTCCAAGGTTAGGTTTAGGTTAGGGTTGGGATTAGCACTAGCCCTGTTTATATCTCGTGACCTTTGACCAAACTTGAAGTTGGCCTTATCAAATAAATCTAACCGCTCAATGTTTCCAGAACGGCATTGTTTCTGCCTACTCTTCATCGAAGTCCAACAGTGGTCTCCCCTTTGTCGTGCAGGACAAATGGCCTGGTAAAGGCACAGCGTATACATGTAGTCGTTTGGATGGGATGGAAAACCGAGGTCCCATGTACACATCAGCATGCACGTAAAAGAACCCTTGTAAGTTGGAATTCGATAAAAGAGTAGGCAGTAGTGTTGTTGTCCGAACAAAATTTCCCTTGCAGGGGTTAAACCCCATTTCATTTCATTTGTCGAAAAATGTTTTAACTCAAATCTACATGTATTAAAACTGACAGCTAAAGCTTTTAAAATCCTATAAATTTGATACATTACTTTAAGAATTACATGTACAAACTATAGCGCAATACTATCTAAATCAAATGTCAAACAAATATTGATCTAAAAAGTTTTATTACGAAATTCTACAGAAGCTGTTAATATCCAGGGAAACGCCAGTCTGCATATTGAAATATATTAACCTGATGTGATCTTAATGAATCATCAATAATTCATCAAACCGTTAGAAACTACTCTGATTCTGATTCTTAATTTATCCCTGTTTTAACTTCTGACTTTTAACGGAGAGTAGTCAGGAAATATGGCCGTCTGTTCCATATCTACACAGTTGACATGAAGCTGAGTTGAAATAACCCCAGTGCTCGGGACAAGTTAATGGAGGATGTGGTTTAACGTCCATTCAACACAAACTAGGTCATTTTGGGACTAACATATGGCTCAATTTTATTTCAATAATTTGCTTGAGCGTAGGGGTCATTAGCAGTGGGAGGAAACCGTAGGACATTTGAGAACACCGACGAGGTTGGACAGGTGACCCTACTCCTTGTCACATACAACCGGGGAATCGAAACCAAGCCAGTTGACTCAATGACAGACCTTATGATACAGCACGCACGTGCTAACCATTTGGCCATCCAACCCCTCTCATGAACATGACAAATTTAGCCTATATAGTGTCCACCTGCAAATTTTATTCCTATATTTTCATATTTTTTTTTTATGAATGGTATGTGAATTTGTTAATTTCAGACAATACCTGACCTATTATGTTTATTTTTGATAAGTTCAAGCGTTAAACATAGTCATGTGATATAACATATACGTGATATTTTAGTTTTATCATGTCTATTCTAATCTTGACTACAATGTAGAGTCAACAAGTTTAAAATATTCAAATGCTAAAAGGGACAGGATGTAAAGACAACCATAATCATCAAGACTATTTTGTACTTCTGCATTTTCAATACATGTAAATGTTAGTTTGTTTACGAGATCGAGTTAACACTACCTTAAAACAACATTAAGTCGATACAAGAAACAAATAGAGAGAGAAATAGGGTTTAACGTCCACTCAACATAAACTAGGTCATTTCGGGACTAACATAATATGGTTTAATTTTATTTCAATAATTCGCTTGTGCGTAGGGGTCTTTAGCAGTGGGATGAAACCGGAGGACCCGGAGAAAACCCACGAGGTTGGACAGGCGACCCTACTCCTTATCACAGGGATTCGAAACCACGCTAGTTGACTCAACTATAAAAGACAGGATAAATGATACTGATAAATATACATATTTAATTTCCCATACTGGGAACATCCATAAATGAAGTTTATCTTTCTATTATGTTACTGAGAGAGAGAGAGAGAGAGAGGGGTAACTCAACACAAACTGTCATTTTGGGACTAACATATGGTTCAATTTTATTTAAATAATGCACTGCCGTGTAGGGGGTCTTTAGGCCTGTAGCAATGGGAGGAAACCGGAGGACCCAGAGAAAACCAATGAGGTTAGACAGGCAACGCTAATCCTTTTACGTACAACTGGGGAATCGAAACCATGTCAGTTTCAGTTGACTCAATGACGAACCTTATAATATAACACGCACACTCTAACTATTCGGCCATTCAACAAACGTTATTTTGATAGTCAAGGAATTTAAGAAAGGTTGGTTTTTTTTTCACAAGTGTACAATGTATGTTACACACTTTGAAAACGATTTTAAATGACTCATTAATATACAGAAAAATCGTGTATATCTCTTCAATTGGAAAGATTAGTCTCAAATTCTGCACATAGGTTACATATAATCATGCTGATGTACATGTAACTGTAATGTCAAATAATATTAAATCGGAAAAAAATATTTCACCAACTGACCCAGACCTCAATGCACTAATTCCTCTTTACATTATAAATGTACATCAATTTTATATTAAGGAAGGTACGCGTAATAGCCTTAGGTTTTATATCACTGTACTAGTTCTATATTAAGGAAGTTAGGCTTTATATCAATTTTCATTAGTTCTATATTAAGGATGGTACCAGTATTAAATCTTTGTTAATAAGGTCAATATAATGTTTCAAATTGGATTGATCTGATAAGTTATCTGATTAGTGATATGACAAATTCTATACAATAAAAATTTGAAAGATTATGCAGAAGTTGGCTACTTTCAGTTTCATTTTTGGATAAGAAACTGGACTTTACTGGATCCCAAGCACCAATCATCTTCTTGTTATTGTTTTTCTTTGGGGCGGTGCTCTTAAAAATAGCCCAAGTCTC